CGTGACCGAGAAAAATCGGTTCACCCTCCCATAAAAAGTTATCACTTTAAAAACTTTTAACCCCCCAAAACGCCTTCGACTCACCATTCCAGTCGCCTATTACACAGATGCCAATGCTTCGATTGTTGTAGCCGGGGGCATGGGCGCCTACCGACGACCATCCCCGACCCACGTAGACTCGATTATCGCCTCCAGCCGCAAAACTGTAGCCGATATCGTTCCAGGAGTTGTTTATCTGCAGTCGCAAGCATTCAGCTAAACAGATCAGACATCAGATGAACTCACCATGTGAAGGTCCTGCATCCACTGCATGGCCTCGATGCAGCCCTCCTGGGTGTAGCAGGCGGCCGGCATGTAACTGTGGTGGATCACAACGAAAGGCACTGGATTGGTCATGTTTTCGCGTAAAAGGGGGTCTCGAGCTCCCCAGTCGTCTCTGCTCACGATTTCCGGCCCCATTGAACAAACTGCACACTGCCGCTCTAAGCAAAATCAACCTCAAGTGATGAGCGTGTTCTTCGTTAGATTGCGGATAACTGATATCTGGGTTTTTTGTTTCATATCACTTCGCAGCGAGAATTGGAGGGTTTGTAGGTGCTGATAATTGAGTCAGTCAGTCAGTCAGTCAGTCGGTTTGTTTGTGTGTGTGTGTGTGTAATCTGATTGAAGATCATTGTTTTAACTGCATGCATCTTTCGTCGCGACCGAATATGGGGGTTTACAGCGATTGAACTTGACGACCTTGCGTGAGCCTGATAAACTATTCGTTGGTTTTGCCAGCCTCTGGTCTTGCTTATACCCATATATTTTAGACTAGCCAGCTTTTCCTATGTTAATGCGAATTCCATTAGCACAACAGTTTCGAGTAAAGTGCTGTTTTTTGGCCTGTATTTAAACAGTATCCGTTTCATGGGAGGATGCTGAGTCAGAACGACGAGAAAAGTCGAAGTATTCCTTGACGAAGACGCTTTAAATTTAATGCGGTTTGTTGTTTTGTGTCTGGAAATAGGTTTTTTTAAGCCAAATCCAGCTCATGGGAGATGGTTGGCTCGAATCGGGCCTGGGATTAGCGCATCTGAGAATCTGTAGATCTAATGATGCCGAAAACGGCGCAAAGTGGAAAAATGTGCAAAAACTGCAAGGCAGACTTTGCCCGAAATCAAACAGCAAACGTGCATCTTTGCTTAAATTCAGCTGAAATTCTCGAGTAGTTGAGGCGCGGCTGGATGAATTGAAAAATGACCTTTTGCAACGTATTAAACGTAGAAATTGGAAAAATCATTAGCAACTTAATCGTAAAAACGTGCCAATTTTTCTTCGCTGAAATCAAATGGAAAATAATGAGTCTGGCCTTGTGCCTGTTCTTGTCGTATTCGAGATCTCAATGATGAAGTCCGAAAAGCTGATGATGCAAAGTGGGTTTCATCAACATTATTCTAAAGCACTCGCAATAAACGAGTGGAGGATCGATACGCTTTATCTTATAAGGTTGTTTTTTTGTTGTTTTTGGGAACTTAATTTTAATTCGTACCTTGGAAACAGACCGCCACCACAAAAACCGCCCCAAAGCAAAGCAGTGAAAGCTTCATACCACCGCACTTGATTTATTACAGAAACGCTAATTATGGCGCCCAAAGGTGTTTTCAATTTTGTTTTTAATAACGCTTGTGATCTGCCTACACTCACCGATTAACCGATAACTAATTCATAACTTTATATAGACGAATTTAATATTTTCAATCCTTTATCTCGTGCGATATAATGACAAGTTCACATTTTTTTCCCAATAAGTAGGGGGGATTGAGGCGCGAGTTCGGCGATTAGTATTAATTTGATTCTAGTCCGATTGGTCATCTACGATCATAATTTAGGCTCCGCAGATGTTAATGCTTATTATAGTAATTTCTCATCATGGTTGATAAAAAAGCCATCAATTACGAGCCTTGTACATAAAGCCATATACAGGGAAACGGATGTGGCGCTTAGCGCCAGTGATTGGCATTGGCCAAGACCAGTAGTTGCATTGAATAGTTTTGCGGCCCGCTCTGTATGTGGGGCAAACGGGTTTGATTATAAAGCTGCGCCAAAGGGGAATTACTTCGATGGTAGTTTACCAGCGATATAATGGATAAGGGAGTCCCGAGGTGCGGGTCAACAGCTATTTTGTTACATTTTTTAAATAGCCGATCAACGTTGCGAAATCGTAACAATACAATGGAATTACGTGGTGTGTAGTACGGAAGATTAAATATATTAATAAAG